TTTTTTTTTTTTTTTTAAGTTTACGTATATGTATAAATATTATTATACATATTTTATACTTTTTCACAAATATTAATATTTTATATTTTATGGTATGCCTATTTTGTACATATTCTTATAACTAATGAAATGGAAATAATAAGAACCTCCACGTATTCTATTTCATTTTCAATATTCAAAGAATTTTTTAAATCCAAATATTCCAAAAAATTATGAGAATTGATTACAAAGTTTGAAAAATCTTGTCGCGCGGCAGTGACAAGAAATGAACACTAATTCCTACATTAATGGAATTAATTAACAATCATATAACGTGTAATTGACGTATGTTTCTATATGTGACAGCAGTTAATTACTAAAAGTCAAAATGTTTTTAATGTCTTTGTAACAATGTTGCAACATTTGTAAAATCTTGCGTGTCATAATATGTATTACATATTACAATTTCTAATACCTACAATATTGCAGCAATCTACAATATTGCAACATTTCTGCAATGTTACTGCAAGTTTCTATGCTGTATGGAATTTCTGTCTTGTGCCACTGCAGATATTTTATCTATAATCGAAACATTAAATTTTTTTTTAAATGCTTAAATCTATTTTTCGTTCGAGGAAAATAAAAATAATTGACGATTCAGTCCATTGTTGTGATCTCGACTAGATATGTTGCAACTCGAAAAATTACAAGATCGCAAAAATTATATTGTATAACTCTTGTGCGATAGTTGAATGACATTGTTAGGCGTAAGCGCCGCTGCGTTAGCTATCGGCAACGAATGGGTTCACGGAACTTTATCAATTGATGTTCGCAATATCACGCAGAGGTGCCACGCCATTGTTGTGCGAAACAAAGTCCTGGGTCATGAGGTCACGATCGGTTAACGCCATGGAACTGTCGACAAGTTCTCGGATTCTCGTGCCCTGGCCCAGATTGAAATGTTGCAATAGTCATGATTACTGCAACGCTAATGACGACGACGATGAGGAGGAGAACGCCAGCACATGGACGCACGAAAGAAAGATTCAGATGGATCAAACATATTCTACGGTAAATCGCGAGACGCTAACGAATTATCTAACGTCAACGAATCGTCATACAATGTTAACGTTACAACCTGATCGAAACTATGAGGATTCAATAGAATCAATCAATCAACTTCTCCAGAATCGCATCAAAGCGCTTCACATCGCCGCTCTTGTTCTTGCAGTTGCAGTCCTTATATCCGTCCTCGCATCTTGCTATGTGATTACAAGGTTCGTATATTTTTCTCATATCTATATTATATGTACGTATAAATTAATTCTTCATTTATATAGTTGATTTGAAAAAATATGATCTCATGAAAAGAAATCAACATTAAATTATTATATTTTCTTAAAGTTATCTATATCAAAGAAATTTGGCGATAACAGGAGGAATCAGGCGTGATGGTCGTTGCGCAAATAATATACATAATATAAAACTCTTTATTAAATTAATACGCTTACATGTTTCAGCTCATTTTTTAGCCCTCTTCAGAGACATAAATCATCGTTATAAATATAATCTATACGTAATAATTACCTTGTCATAGTGAGTTCTTTTCACTAAAAGTCACTAAAAAGTCTCTATACAAGAATTAAACTCAGATGAATGTTAAAACGAAAAGAGAAGAAAACATTTTTTTCTTTTGTTGATAGAGTGATTATTTCGAATCCGAAATTTTACTTTGATAATTTTTATCTTATAATTAAATTTTAAGTTTTATAGTAATAATAAATTATGAAAATTCAATTAAGAGAGAGAGGTGCATAAGGATCCGCTACGGGATATAATGTGAAATCGAATGTCATGTGTAAGATTTCTTGTAAGGATTGCGAGTTAAATAGGACAGACGAAGCCGATCGGACAGTTCCAGTGAAGTCCAGAATCACTAAGCACAGGAATCACATGCGGAATACATCTACTCGTTTGGTCATAATTGATCATCGTTTGCAAGAAGACTATGAGTTCGACTGGAAGAATGTTGCAATTTTGAATAAAGAAGGAAAAGATTGGTTTCGGAAGTGTTATATACAGATATTTACAGATAGACATGGAGGAGCTTCTCAAGGCCTATTTTCCGATTATTGACAAGCTATAAATGTCGATTTGTTTTGATTTCAATCAGTCAGTATCGTCCTTGCTTAGTCCTTGCTTAGTAACTAAGTCTTTCTTGACTGTTGTCAATTCCTATCGATCGTTATCTGATTCCTTTTTTTAATTAAATAAGTTAACATTAGAATTTTAAAATTAAGAAATGTTAACTAATTTTAATAAGCAGTACACTTAATTTGACACTGGCATCAACAAGTAAAAAATTAATTTTTTTACTAGATAATTGTGTTTATTATTTGTGGTATGGTGTATTCGGTTCGTGGTGAACCTCCTTACTTTCATTGGGTTTCAAATTTATTAAAGTTCACCAAATTTCTCTAATTTCTCTAAAATTAAAAAAATTTTTTCTTCTCTTTTCTTTTTAACATTCATTTGTGAGTGAGTTTAATTTTTGTATAGAGATTTTTTAGTGAGGAAGTTCACTATAATAAGATAGTTATTACGTATAGATTGTATTTATAATGGTGATTTTTGTCTCTGAAGGCTTGAGCTCTGAGAGCTCAATTCAAAAATGAGTCGAAACTGTAAGCGCGTTAATTTAATAAAGAGTTTTATGTTATATCTGCATACATATATATATGTGTATGCGCAACGACTATACCGCGCCTGACTGATATTTTATAAATTTCTCTGAATAGTAGAATCCTTGTAAATTGATTTATGTCTTATCTATATCTATACTTTAATATAAAAAAAATATTAAATAAAATGTATGTATAAGGATATTTGTTGCAATGTAAAATAAATAAATAAAAGTATTATCATCGAAATATGTGTCATTGTGCGAAGAGACGATACATTATTAACGATATAAGATCGAATTAACATTGGATATAATTATAAAACGATCGGCGAAGATAAATCTATTCGAAAGTAGCCTTGGCAGAGGGGTTACCACTCTGTGTAACAGATGATGAATATCGAGGCCATTCGGCAAGTGATACATAGTAACTTGCGCCTACACGACTCGTTTTTCTCACATGGAATGGCAAATTATTTCGCGATTTCTCGAATAGCAAATCCGCAATACACTTAATTTTATCAGTACCTATTGTTAAATTATGTTTGACTGTGTGTGTGTGTGTGTGTGTGTGTGTGTGTGTGTGTGTG